AAATATATATATATATACTAACGCATAAAAATATGCATTATATTGGGCCAAATATTTCTCTTGCAGCTTTTGAAGGATCAAAGAAGGAATTTTTAGTTCCCAGTTCGGATTCTATCCAAATAATAATAATAATAATAATAATAATAATAATTTAATAACCATTGCAGTATTTTAACATTTCAAAATTGAAACAAATATTTATACATGATCGAAAAATCGTTTAAAGTTTCCTAAAATCTGATCATATTTCAAAAGAGCTCTTTCTGTTATTACAATAATACCGCCTATAATCAAATTGTAATATTTAATATTTTGCAGTAAAAAATAAACTCAAGCGACAAATATGTACCTGAAACTAAAATTTCACTTGGAATTAGTCCAGGTTCTTCAATTAGATAAAATTTAATTCCAATCCGATATCTCAAATCCATATAATTAATAACTTCTGGAGAAGGGGTTCTTTTAAAACTTTTTTGATAAATCTACAAATATTTAAGCATTTATAACTAATGGCAGTCATTAGGTAGTATGGAACCTTTGCTGGGAAATAAAGAAAATTGTATGTTCTGTAACTTGATTTCCTAGCCAAAATTCCATACTGTAAAAACGAATAAACCAATTACCAGTATACAATCAACCTGCGGATCATGAATGCTCGTTTCAGACGCACCCATATATGTCATAAAATCAGATATTTGGTCACCTGAAGGTTTTCCAATCAAAACAAAATTTGATTCTTCTAGATCCGACAAAGTTTCAGAGGACCATTGCATTAAATAATTTATAGGAAATTTGTCTTTTTTATAGCGTAACATGATAAAAGGTTCTTTAGGATTCGTAATTCGAAGTTGGTTACACAAATTAATTTGAGGAGGTATCAAAAATAGAACCCATGAATTTAATAAAATTACCGCCACCTATATTAAGATTTAATTTATTTAATCGACATGCCGTTATAATAAACTGAACCAACAAATATGGATATATATAATTAATATTTTTACCATTTTTTTTCTTCTGAGTTCGTTTGATTCAACATGAAGG